TACTTGTTTTCCATATCTACACGTTTGTTTTCTATATCGACATTATTTGTTTTCCATATCTACACTTTTGTTTCCTATATCGACACTACTAGTTTTCCATATCTACACTTTTGTTTTCTATATCGACATTATTTATTTTCCATATCTACACTTTTGTTTACTATATCGACAATTATTTGTTTCCCATAACTACACTTTTGTTTTCTATATCGACATTTTTTGTTTTCCATATCTACAACTTTGTTTACTATATCGACATTATTTGTTTTCCATATCTACACTTTTGTTTTCTATATCGAAATTATTTGTTTTCCATATCTACACTTTCGTTTAATATATCGAAATTATTTGTTTTCCATATCTACAACTTTGTTTTCTATATCGACCTTATTTTGTTTTCTATATCTATACTTTTGTTTACTATATCGACATTATTTGTTTTCCATATCTACTTTTGTTTTCCATATCTACACCTTTGTTTTCTATATCGACATTATTTGTTTAACATACCTACACTTTTGTTTTCCATATCGACATTATTTGTTTTCTTTATATACACCTTTGTTTTCTATATCGATATTATTTTGTTTTCCATATCTACACCTTTGTTTTCTATATCGACATGACTTGTTTTCCATATCAACAATTTTGTTTTCTATATCGACATTGTTTGTTTTCCATACCTAAACTCTTGTGTTATATATCGACATTATTTGTTTTCCATATCTACACCTTTGTTTACTATTTCGACATTATTTGTTTTATATATCTACACCTTTGTTTACTGTATCGACATCATTTGTTTTCCATATCTACACCTTTGTTTACTATATCGACATTATTTGTTTAAATATCAACACTTTTGTTTTCTATATCGACATTATTTGTTTTCCATATCTACACCTTTTTTCTATATCGACACTACTTGTTTTCCATATCTACACCTTTGTTTTTTTTATATCGACACTATTATTTTATATATCGACAATACTATTTTCTATATCGAGACTATTGTTTTATATATGGACACTGCTGTTTTCTATATTGACACTATTGTTTTCTCAATGATGACCCTTTATTGCATTTGACGCTATGAAGCTGGCCATATTGAGATTTTCCCTCATTTTGCGAATATTATCATCATATTTGTGAATATAAGGACAAATTTCGCAAAATTACGAATCTTTCCATATCAAAATTTACATTTTTTAAAGTAACTATTTCTTTTCAACAGCTGTCTTTAATTACTTAATGTCTGAGCGTTTTTCAAGTATTGCAAGCTGGAGCGATGAATTACAGAATATACAATAATCATCAATACCGTGATTTAAGTGGCATATCTATCAATTTCCTCACCGATGTCCTCTGATAAAAGAAATAATTTTGCACAAACTTTAGCTCACTGTGATCCTCTAATTACTTCAAAACTTTTTTCTTCCGTTCCGATACAATAGTGAAAGTATTTCCCTCACATTACAGCATGACACGGACTGTCTACGCTTTTATTCACCGGTAACTTTCCGATCTTTAATCAACTTTTATTTCGACCTGCCTAACCACCTAACCACCTACCTACATGTCTACTTACCCTAATTGGCACATTTACATATCAACAGACGAATTGGTTTATATATACACTTAAGACGTTGATATCCAACCATAAACTATCAATTACCTTTGTGTTAGAAAGACGAAACTTTGTCTTTTTAATGATTTGTTATTTTTGCGTAAAATGTTATCTTTCCACTCTGCATTTTGATACATTCATGTAGACAATACTAATGGAGACTCACCCATTAAAACCTACAAATTATTTGTTTATTTATTTTATTTAAATACAGAAAACATAAAACAAAGAAATATCACTAAATGCAAGTTCTGTAATTTTCTTAAGTTTCACCTGTACACAGTGTTTATTAAATACCCAAACTGCTGGACAATCAGAGAGAAAGGACGGGTTTGAAATGAATCTATGTTCAATCCTCTAAGTGTGAAAGTCTATAAATGGGTGGAGGTCAGAGTATGCAATGTTTATAAGTGGCTGGAAGTCGGAGTATGCAATTTCTATAATGGATGATCAGGGTATGCAATGTCTATAAGTGGATGGTCAGATTATGCAATGTCTATAAGTGGGTGGAGGTCAGGGTATGTAATAAATGGATGGTCAGAGTATGCAATATCTATAAGTGGATGGTTAGAGTATGCAATGTCTATAAGTGGGTGGGGGTCAGAGTATGCAATGTCTGTAAGTGGATGGTCAGGGTATGCAATGTCTATAAGTGGATGGTCAGAGAATGCAATGTTTATAAGTGGGTGGAAGTCGGAGTATGCAATTTCTATAACTGAATGATCAGAGTATGCAATGTCTATAAGTGGATGGTTAGAGTATACAATGTCTATAAGTGGGTGGGGGACAGAGTATGCAATGTCTATAAGTGGATGGTTAGAGTATACAATGTCTATAAGTGGGTGGAGGTCAGAGTATGCAATGTCTATACGTGGATGGTCAGAGTATGCAATGTCTATAAGTGGGTGGAGGTCAGAGTATGCGATGTTGACAAGTGGATGGAGGTTAGAGTATGCAATGTTTGCATCATTTTGACAATGTTAAGAAAAACTTACAATTTAGTGTCTTGTATGCAGGTAGCATTCAAAGTATTTAATGCTTATGAATATACTCCAAAAGATTTGCTCCATGTTTTCAAGCTGTCAGAACATTAGTTTTGTCGCGCTTGTAATGCTGACAAAACTCGTGCGCATTAAGGCAGGAAATAACTAAGTCAGTTGATAAGAAAATAGTTTGGAATATAGGGAGAAAGAAATATACACGTCAATTTAATCCAGTTTGTGGTATGGGCATGTTTACAATCAATCTGGAATCAACATCTACTTGACCTTCAATAAACTGACAGATGTTTGAAGCTGAAAGAACTTGTGCACCTTTAAAAATGGTCTCTAATGTGTTCAAAGGTACCCGACACTTGTCAGACCAATTAATTCTTACTCAATTGTGTGAAACACTCGTCCGTGATGTAAAAATTAGGAGCAAATTTCTGATAATATCTTAGCCCAGAACCGCATCTATTCCTTTCTACTGATAGGCACTGGGAATTCAGAGATATACTTGTTTTTAAATTTTGCAGGTTCATCTTAATCGTGTTCGACAATATGTCCTTAAACTGACACAAACACGGCAACAAATCATTTTTACCTAAAAGAATTGTCAAATTGGCTTTATTGAGTTGATCAAAGAATTTCCGAATGGTTTCCAAGTGATCTTTCCAGGTGTCCTTGTAGAAGATGACGTCATTGGTGTATGAATTACAATTATTTAAACCAGTCATCATCATGTTCATTAAATGCTGGAATATCGACGGAGAATTTTTCACTATATATTTATATACATATACATATACATATATATATATATATATATATATATATATATATATATATATATATGTGTGTGTGTGCATGTATGTATGTATGTATGTATGTATGTATGTATGTATGTATGTATGTATGTATGTATGTATGTATGTATGTATGTATGTATGTATGTATGTATGTATATATATATATATATATATATATATATATATATATATATATATATAGAGAGAGAGAGAGAGAGAGAGAGAGAGAGAGAGAGAGAGAGAGAGAGAGAGAGAGAGAGAGAGAGAGAGAGAGAGAGAGAGTCCATCTGGATTTGCAAGCATCGAAATTTATTTTGCTCTTTCCGTGAGTGGAATTTGTCAGATTCAATTTAAATTGTCAAACTTTGTAACGTAACATAGTTTGCATTTTCAATTTTGTCAATTTACTCAACTATTCTTGGCATTGTAAATGAATCTATGTTGGAGACAATGTTCATTTTTGTCAGGTCAGTATGCATACGTAATGTATTATCTGATTTAGGCATACAAAATATATGGCGAACTCCAGTTACTTTTAATTGCTTCTATGAAATCACTCTTCAGTAAGTACTGAATTTCGTTTTGCAAAAACTCCTGTTTGTGCTTGAGAGAATGCATACTGTAAGGATGATGTTGCACAGGTGTAGAATCTGTAATTCTAGGGCCTTGGTAGATTGTATTGGTTGTGTTGGAACATCAGTAAACAAGTACTCAAATTAACATAACAGATATTTTGATTCTGTCTATTCCTGTGGATGTAGAAGTATAAGTTTCTAGTCCAGACTGTTTAATGTTTCTGAATTTCAAAGATTGTTTAAACCAAAGTCCCTAAGGTCAATTTTCATTCCATCCTGTACATCCTCACATGTACAACTAATTGATTGAATAATTAACAGGGTTAAATCTACCAAAATACTTCTTGAGCATACTTATATGACAAAGTTATTTCTGTTTTCCAGGCGTTTTAATAATATAATGAAGCAAATTACTTTCTTTTCAAATGTATAAGGATCGTACAGGTTTAGTCTGAAGAGGACACAGAGGTCAAGAGGGGCCATAACTCTATGACTTGACCGAGAACTATTGTTTGGAGTACTTCGGTCATTTTTGACTGAGTAGAGTGAAGACATTCTTATTACTTCAAAATCATGTTAAAACTTCTATTTAAAATTAAAGACAAAGTAGAGAAAAATTATCTTAGAATCTTTATTTGAAAGAAGTTTCTTATATAATAAATTTAACGGTTCGCATATAGTGTGTCCAAACACTAGTTCAAACGGACTAGAATCTAATGACTCTTTAACTGATTCCATTATTTTGCTAAATGGATGGTCATATGTAAGTATGTGAGATTTGAATTTTTAACGTAGCTTTACTAATTTTTCAGTCACATCGTTATGATGTCTGTAGTGTATATCAGTTTATAGCGATATCTAGCACTGGGGCATCATGCGGCAGACATGGAGCATAATATCGCACCCAGTCATATTATCTTGACACCAGGCTGACCAGTCCTAACACTAACCTCCTAATGCTGAGCGCCTAGCGAGATAGCTATTAGTACCATTTTACAAGTCTTTAGTATGATTCGGCTGGGATTCGAACCCACGACCTCCAGCACCCTAGGCGGATGCTCTAACCATTAGGCCACCAGAGCGATATGGTCATATGCAAGACTAGGTTGTTGATGAGCTTCTAACATTTGACAAGTATGATAAGATGTATAGTATCTTAAAACCACTTTTGATTTAAGATCTTGTGAAAAGTTTTAATAACTCATAAATAAAAAGCCAATAGACTCAAAAATTACTGTTAATATGAAATTGGAATGCCATTCACAAGCAGATACCTGAGATGGTCTCTATTTTCTTACAAGGATCCCTTTTTTCAATAAATAAACTGAGACTTGTGTGGCTTCAGTTTTTTCTAATAGCCATCTGAAACCAACAGGATATATAAGGATATTGTTTCTGCTCAACAACAAGTAACTGTCTTTTGTCAGCCTGATTAGAAAAAACATAATGAGTAGTAAAAAGAGGACCAATCTCTACTAACTCATCAATGCTAGGAGCAAAAGTGATCTCATCAAAAGAATGACCAATAAATGTGTCAGATAAAGGGATATTTTCATTATCAACATCAATCTCAAGAGTTCTTTCTACCATAGCGCTAGTAACAGCACAAGCAGGATATAAATCAGGGATTTCAATCTCAACAGGATCAGCTTTTTATCCAAATAACGTCAGTGTATTAAGCACAACCTTATCTCCAACTAGGATATTTCCTAGGCATGAATTCCTTCAAAAGGTAAAGAAGTCCCTGCGCTTACAATCACAACTCCTGAAACTAAGTATGATTCCAAATTGACACAGTGAAAAGTTATATTAACAAAGCCACATTCCACTATCTGAATAAAAACGATTTACTTAGAAGCAAACTTCTCAGAAAAATGCGGAGCACCTGATAGGACTCTGAGAGGCTCCTGTGTACCTTAATATTTTAAGGATAGGTTTGGCAGAATCACTAATAAGTGATATTGAACATTTCAACATGAACAGTTCATAACTCTCCATAAAAAATCAGACTGGGGTTTACTTGACCCAGTCAATGTATTGCTTTCAATATAGCAATCATAAATAACATGCCTTTCTTTTTACAATATGAACTTTTAGAAAGAGCTAAGGAATTTTGATTAGTCTTATCAGATGTTTGATTTCTAAAAGTTGTGCCAGACTGATATTTGAAATGAGGAAGAGATACTGAAAATGTTAAGTTTGTGGTACAAGGAAGGAATAATTATCAGCTGTATGAACAGCATTTTCAAAAGTTTCCACTTTTTGCTCATCATAGTTTTGACATAACACTTCAATTAATATGAGCTGTCTGAGGCTATCATAAGCTTTACCTTTTTGTCTGAGCATCACCTATCTTATAGTTGTTTTTCTTCCCATGAAAATTCAACATAGTTTTGTCCAAGTTTCTCTTCAACAATTCCTAAACCTTTGTTGATAAGCCTCAGGTACCAAACCATAACCCTTCAACATATATTCTGTAACCACTTCATTATCAGCATTTTGCTGTACTAACAGTAAATTGTAAATATCATGAAATTTACCAATAAGTAAACTTTGTTGTTATAGTTGTTGTAGGGTTTAACACCATTTTTCAGCACAAGATAGGCTATACATAGCAACCAGTATAAATGGTGGAGGAAGAACGTGGGAAAAACCCAGAAATAACCAATGACCCATGAGAAGCTACTGGCAAGCTTTCTCATGTACCCAAATTGGCCAAATCTGTGAATCGAACCCACGTAAATAGAGATGAGATGGCAGTGATCCGTAATGGTGAGCACTTTAGACCACTTGGGGCTCCATAAACTTTGTAAAAATAAAGTCTAATGCTCTCTTGGCCATTTCAAGTTTTCAGTAATTTTCTCAAAGTGAAGAAAATATTTATAAACTTCTTTTTCTTGAAAAAGGGGTACTAATTTTATATTTCTGCTAACATCAAAACCTGAACTTTCGTGTGAAGAGGTGCAGATTTCTTCTTGCCAGTTCTAATTCTATTAATTTATTATTGCATTTCTTCTCTCTGCATCTGCATTAACCACCTCTCTCTCTCTCTCTCTCTCTCTCTGCATTTGTTTTCTCTTCTGTTTCTTACTGTATCTTCCTTTGCTCTCTTCATAAATGTATTTTGCTCTCTTCCTCTGTGCATTTGTTTCTCCTTTCCATCTTTCTGAACTAGCAATTAATTCCAATTTTTATTTTTTAAGCTGGTGCTTTCTTTAATTAAAATTATATATATATATTTTAACTATAATTCCTTTAATTTCTTATTAAAACAAGAAACAGACTTACTAATCAAACCCAAATCATTATCATCTAAAACTTCCTTTCCCACCAAATACTCAACCATATTTTATTTCCTGCTTTCTTAATGATGCTTTTTTTTCTTGAACATCAAAATGTCTGGCAAACTCATGGTATTTGTCTTTTTTCATAGACTCTAGCCCCATCTGAGTAGGATTTGAAACAAAGTTCACTATATTAGATGAAATTGTGAATACTTGTTGGTTTCACTAACAATTTCCTAAATTGTGATATCAAAATCTTTACCAATGAAAATTCCAAGTCAATTTAAATTTTAAAGATAATTTTTAACATCTTTCAAATGTTTTAGAGACATTCAGATCCAAATGAACTCCAAATCTGTTACAATTATATGGTATTCAAATAACTAACTGAAAGAAGAAATGAAACCAATAATGTAAAATTGACCTTACCCTATAATACAAAATGAAAACTTAAAAGTGTAACTTAAAATATTGTGAATTAAATTCAAATATTCTAAATATTTTATCACAAGTCCTAAAAGGATATAACTGATTGAACTACAATAGCATTGAATGTGCTGATGTACCAATATTACTGTATGTCGTAATGTACCAATAGTTTTGTTGTACCACAATGATATAATCCAGAATAAGTCTTCAATAATCACAAAGCAGTATTTAATCTAAAAATTCAATGAGCACTTTGTAATTCCAATGAATATTTTGAATAAATAATTCCTCTCAGATAATAACTAAACATAACTAAATGAGATTTCACAGATTTATATCAAAACAAGAATGAATAATTTTGTTTACCACAAACTTATAAAAAAAATAAAGACATGAAATGACCAGGACGTGGGTCATAAATTTGCTTTCAGAACAATCTAAGTTTGTAAACATGTCTAGATCTTGAACTCAAATACACTTAAACAACTCATTTATTATTTACAAACATGACAAAAATCAAGTACACAAAAATCTCTATTCTCAGTCATGGACAAAGGTCAGGCATATAATATAAATTAGATATACATAACAATTCCTCTTCATTTAGTATTACACTTCTGGATAAGCCTGTAGTTATTGTTATGACAGCTTATTTCTCAATATTCATCTACAGTTTTTGTTATGACAGATTACTTCTTGATGATGTTATAACAGATCACTTCTAAATATTCCTATACAGATTACTTCTATATGTTCATCTACACCGGATTCTATGACATTGCTTCTGAATATTCTAATACAGCTGGTGTTATGACAGATTATTTTTGTATATTCATTTAAAATTAGTGTAATTTTAATTGTAATTATGCAATGGAGTAATTCAATAATATGAAAGTGTTATGCATATTTAACTTAATTGTTTGCTTGTTAATTTTAAAATGTTTTATTTCATTACATGCTATGGTAATGTAACATTGTATGGTGGACTTGACCTTGTTCAAAATTGAGTTCATATCTGCTTGACCTGATTAGCTTTTTAAAATTTTTAAAATTTCATTTTATGTCAACATTTAATACATAGCTGAATTAGTCTGTATGTTTATGAGCCTAATAACAGAATATTTATTAATATAGATAAATATGTTTATCTGGGTTGGGGGTGTGGATTTTACTAAGTGAATTGCACAGGTTATGGTTTTGATGTTGTAAACATCTGGATCTTTCTAGAAGGTTATTTTCCATTAGGTAATGTTTTCTTTTTGTTTTTTTTTTAGAAATTGCTAATTGTGACCTGAGGTTAAGTAGAGAACTGTATAATCTTGTAATTGTGAAGACTTGGTTATTTGTCCTTTAACATCTTGTACTTTTAAGTTGTATTATATGTTATGAATGGTAGTTTTGAGATGGAATCTTTTTTTAAATTCAAATTATTGAATTCTGGTGTTTCATTTTCTCTGGAAATACAAAAGTGCTCTGACAAAATTCATGGATAGAGACATTCCCTGGAATTTATAGTATTATCAAGCCTGGAATTATGCTTCTGTGATTCAAGAAAAGACTGTTGACACATCAACACTTCAATAGCTATGACAGACACACGTCATCAACTTCAGTTTTTGGATATTTTCTGGACTTTTACTGAATTTTATTCAGGACTTTAAATTACTGGGACTTGTGTCTGTAATTCCTGGAATATTTTTGGGATTTAATTAGCCATACTGTATATGTTGTTTTGTTTTGTCATTTTCACTTTGTATTATAGGGAAATAAATATATGTTACATTTTACAAAGCTTGTTGTCTTTCACTCTTTACTGTCACTTTTTTAAGAGCATAGACTCGTAACAAAAGTATACTATTTTATAATTCTCACTAATTGCAGAGTTCCAGTGCTACATGTGTTCCTACAGTATCTGGGATAAGACAGGTTCATTACATGACTGTATAACTCATCCAATGTTGTTAAGTGAACAGAACCATCTGAAATGCGGCAATTACTGCGTTTTCTCTGAACAGTATGACAAATGTAAGTAAAATTAAAATGTGGCCTATATATTGAATCCATGCTCAAAGTAAAATTAAAATGTGGCCTATGCATTCAAACCATGCTCGAAGTAAAATTAAAATGTTGTGGCCTTTATATTGAATCCATGCTCAAAGAAAAATTAAAATGTGGCATATACATTGAATCCATGCTCAAAGTAAAATTAAAATGTGGCCTTTATATTGAATCCATGCTCAAAGAAAAATTAAAATGTGGCATATACATTGAATCCATGCTCAAAGCAAAATTAAAATGTGGCCTTTATATTGAATCCATGCTCAAAGAAAAATTAAACTGTGGCTTATACACTGAATCCATGCTCAAAG